CATCCACCCATCCACCAACCCATCCACCATCTACCCACCCACCCATGCATCCACCCATCCACCCATGCATCCACCCATCCATCCACTATCCACTCACCCATCAAACCACTTACCCATCCGTCCACAATTCACCCATCAAGTCAATACTCGTTGAGCACCTCCCAGAGCTGGTCATAGGCCCTGACCACCATACCATCATTGTGACATCACAGCTGTGGTCTCACTCTTAATCCTCAGTCCTGCTTTATGCCCCAGTTCTGGTGTCTAGATCCTCATTGGGCCCTCTGTGCAATAACTTCACCCCTGACCCAGCCCATCAGCAACAAGGCCCTGCTGCCCTCAACCCTGACCTGGGGTCTGAGCTTGGCCACTGGTGACACACTTCGCTGCCATGAGCAGCCCCACCTTGGATTCTCAGATCCCCAGGTTGGTGGAAGAGCCCCACTCAAAGTCTGCAGTCAAGTCAGCACCCTCCCACCCTCCACCTCGCAGGTGGGCCCAGCTATGGGCATGGTCACTAGCAGGTGCCAAGGAAGAGGCCTCCTATTCTTCCTGGGACTGGCAGATGTGAGGGCTGGGAAGGTCTGGAATTAAAGGGGTAGAGAGAGGACAGACAGAATCTCCACGGGAAGTACTGACCAACTGCAGACCCAAGTGGTTCTCAGTCTCTCCAATTCCATTTGCCAGAGAGAATGACATCAGAAGGGCCTCAGCTGCCCATTCTGGGCAGCAGGACTTCCTGGGGCTTGGGGCCTGGAGGGGCGGACATCACAGTGGCTGCTGGCATTGTCTCACGGTGGGAGTGGCCTTTACTTGCTTCCTCCACACAAGGATGGATGTTAAGGCCAGTCAGGAGTTCCCAGCAGGCTGCTCCCAGATATCTCCCTCCAGGGTGGGAAAAGACATGACAGTCCCCAGCTCACGTGACAAGAAGCTCTAGGACCCAGCGGGACACCAAGTATACCCCGAAAGCTCTTCCTTTCTCTAGTGGGAGACAGCGGCTATTCAAAGAACAGCAATGTCTGCCTCAACGCGAAGGTTAAAAAGAGTAAGAGACTGGCCGGCAAGCAGGTTTTGAGATTCCTTAAAAATAGTTAAGGAAAAAAATATTTTAAATCATCTTGATATGGTTCATAGTTTCTGAGACGAACACGTACCCCTCTGGCACCCTGAGAAAAATATATCTATAAAAAATGGATATAGTCGTGAGCACATTTTGCTCTGAGCTACCCTGGTAGAGATGATTGCCTTAACTGACCTCTTTCAAGTTGAAAGAAGCTTCCTGTTTTCATTAGGACAGAGCTAAGATGAGGGGAAAATTATGAAAGAACCTTAGGGGCATTGGTTAAACCAAAGAGATAAGAAAAGAGTCACTCAGGTATCCTAGCCCCTGTGATAAAAATGACTTCTGAGTCTCAAAGATGTTGTGGTCTTGGGATCAGTCCCTGCTCTTGTTGTTGGTAGGTGTCATCCAGTCAGCTCTAGCATGTTGTGACCTGAGGTACAACAGAACGAAACACTGTCTAGTCCTGCGCCATCCTCACAATCGTTGCTATGTTTGAACCATCGTTGCAGCCACTGTGTCAATCCATCTCCTTGAGGGTCTCTTTTTCGCTGACCCTCTACTTTACCAAGCATGATGACCTTCTCCAGGGACTGGTCCCTCCTGATAACATGTCCATAAGTATGTGAGATGAAGTCTCACCATCCTCGCTTATAAGGAGCATTCTGGCTGTACTTCCTCCAAGACGGATTTGTTCACTCTTCTAGCAGTCCATGGTATATTCACTATTCTTCGCCAACACCATAATTCGAACGCATCAATTCTTCTTCAGTCTTCCTTTTTCATTGTCCAGCTTTCACAGGCATAGGAGGCTACTGACAAGCCCAGGCTTGGGTCAGGCAACCTCAGTTACCAGGTGCTCTTGTAGCACGTGTTTTTAGCTCTAAAGACAAAGGATCAAATGGAGTGCCCGCAAAGCAGAGGCGTTAGTTAAACTAACGATGCCTTACATTTTAAAGGAGAGATTCTTTAAAAAACTTCATTTGGGACAGGCTGAGGTACCGTAGCCCAAACTGTGAGCTTCTAATTTCCTAATTTTCTTGCATTCCTGATGATTTCACAGCCTCCCATCTCTGGCAAATGGAGAAACAGTCCTTCCTTCCCTTCGCTTAAAATAGCTTCTTGCAGTGCCAGGCTCTCTTCTCACGGCTGCTCACTGTCATTACTTCTGACACTGCCATCTCAGGCTCTCTGCACATCAGGCGGTGCTTCAAAGAGCTCTGGATTGGACTGCATGGGGAATGGGCAGCATTTCCGGTGACGCTGACCTATATTCCCCTGTGAGATCTTATAAAGAGCATTCAGCCGTGCAGACAAGCATCAACACAGTGCCCGTTCTCTTTGCCTTTTCCCTCCCCGAGGGCTTCTCAGAGGAAGGAATGAGTTGATCCTTGAGACAAGAGTTGAAGAGGGGCGCATCAGTGGTGGGGGTGAGAGAGCGTAGCCCAGCAGGAGGGGGTGGGCGTGAGCTGGAAACACCCAGGGAAGGCGGGACACGGGGTGGCAGAGGTTGGCAGGGGTCCGGCGGGGGTCTTGTTGGCTCTGCTAAGCCAACCAGACTTTTGCAGGAGGCCCACAGGGAGTCTTTGGAGCACCTTAACCAAGGAAGCACAGAAGAGAGGCGAGTTTTAGAAAGGTGCTCTGGGGACAGGTGCAGAGAATGGACCGTAACTGCAGTTGGCCAGCTTGATCGGTCTCTACCCGCCTGCGTCCGTCCACCTCCCTTTCAGGGTCCCCTTGCCTGGGAAGCGCTTCACAGCAGCCTTGGTTCCACCGGCTGTGTGCAATACGTCTCCGCAGGCCACTCTCTCTTTTTGAGCATGTGAACTGCCTCCGCAGCTAGACTGGAGTCCCACTGAGGACTGGGGCATGTTTTTACCTCCACATTTCCCCCCGTCCGTGGAGAGAAAGTGACCTGCACCCAACTCAGCGTCTGAAACGGCAGGCCACGTTGGCTGATGATAACAAAGAACACTCTTTGGGCCTCTGACTTGTTTCTTCTGGAATAGCTAGAGCTAAAATGTGAGATTCCTGTTTGGAAAATGGCATACTGCATTCATCATTCAAAGAGGAAACCAAACATGGACTGCATAAGAAAAGCGTGCTGTAGGAAAACGCCACCACCCCATCGTCAGTTTATCCTGCTATGGGGGCTTGCGTGTTGCTGTGATGCTGGAAGCTATGTTACTGGTATTTCAAATACCAGCAGGGTCACCCTTGGTGGACGGGCTTCAGTAGAGCTTGTAGAGTAATACAGACTAGGAAGTAAGGCCTGGCAATCTGCTTCCAACCATTAGACAATGAAACCGTATGGATCACAACAGAACACTGTCTGACTCACTTGCTTTGGACTTGTCATCAGGAGGTATCAATTGCTGAAGGAGGACATCATGTTTGGTGATGTAGAGGGTCAATGAGGGCAGAGAGACCCTCGGTGAGAGGGATTGGCACAGTAGCCATAACGATGGACTCCAACAAGCTGTGATTGTGAAGATGACGCAGGACTGGGCAGTGTTTTATTCTGTTGCACATCAGGTCGCCACGAATCAGAAATCAGAGTCAACTTGATGGCATCTATCTATCTGTCTTTCTATCTGTCTGTCCATCTGTCCATCTATCTACCTCTATTATCTATCTATCTATCTGTTTGCTGTCTGTCTAGCTATCTATCTACCTCTATCTAGCTATCTACCTCTATCA